TCACAAAATTGTATGGTTGTTGTAATGGATTGTGTGGGTTGTGTTTTCTCTTTCTTTCTTTTAAAAATTGACTTTGAGTCTGTAATAAAGTTTTGATTGATTGATTGAAATCTTTTCAAAGTCTTTTGGTGTAAGCCCAGCATAACTCAGTTAGCTGGATTTGATTGTTGGCGATTTGCTGTCCAGGGGCTCGTTCTTCGTACGTCGCTAACTCAGTTAGCTGGATTTGATTGTTGGCGATTTGGCATGATCTTGGATCGTTTGGTTTTTCGACGCTCATCCTGGACTTGCTGTCATAGCAACAAGTCCGTCAGCTTGAACCTGCTCGCGAGCAGGCTTATTTCATGTAAACAGGATTAGATCGCGGCTGATACGGGAAGTCCTTCAGCGCAGCGCGATAGTGTAGCCTAATTTCTGAGATTTATTTTTGTTTTCTCGTGAAACGATCGTCGTGAGGGTGTCGTTTAAATACATTATTATTTTGTTGGAAATGCACATTAATGTTTGATTCGATGTCGGGCTTCAACAACAGTACAAAATGTTTGCATTGCCCTAAAATTATTTGCGAGTGGCTTCCTTTACACTATTGGAGATGCGGAGAACTTGATAAGCTTTCTGTTGTGCCATTCACAAAGTAGTGCTCTTAGTTGTTTTGTTTTTTTTTGTTTTTTTTGCCACAATGACATGAGCTTTGGCCAACTAAAGGGAAGATTTCAGGGTCTAAAAAGCCTGAGGGTTGCACCTGACAGGGCCTGTGACATTGCATGTATTACACAACACTGCCAACATCAGAAAAAGGAAAAAAAAAGTTTAATTAAGCCTAAAATAAAAGACAAGACAAATTTGCAAAACTCTATTTGCTTAGAGTTTTATTTCAATTGTTCTTTGTAAAGAAAAGCCAGTTATTCAGTCATCTTTCTAAAAGATATTATGCAAGGTCAGCAATAGTACTCTGTGTGATTTTACTCTGAAGTTTATTTTGAAGCAACTCTATTTCTAGTGCAATTTTTTCTTAGTCAAGTTCTGTTTCTCCTCCTGATTTTTGTTTTTTCAAAAAAATACTCTATTTTCTGTTGAAGACTCATATAGGGAACGAATTTAACCCTGTGTCGTTTGTGTCACACATGCCTCATGCAACAAATAAAAAGCTAAAGTTGTCTCTACACTGCCCACCCCTGTATCACTGCTGTGTGCAGACTCTTCTGTAGGCCTTTCTGTACATGTGGACTCCTGTCAGAAATAATAGGCATAGGCACAATTAAAATTAAAGTACTTCCTCCAAAGGACAGTCATCTGAGAAGTTTTCTTCACTCTCCAGTGCAATGTGATTGATAACTCATGGCAAAATATTTTTACATTAACATAAGTTTATCAGTTTTTACTTTAAAAGACAAAGCAATTTATCATTACTCAAGATTTAACAGTTGAAATGACTAAACCAGCCAATTTGGATTATAGGTCTACTTCATTTAATGCAGCAACAAATTATTTCATAGTGTACAAAGATAATTTAAATCTCATTTCCCAGTAATGAAGGTGTTGCTGCTACTGGTCCCTGATGTGGGTCTGGAAGAGCTGAACCCAGGGATGCCCTTCACAACAGGGCAATTCACATTCAACCCAAGGGTCAGCTGTTCTGCCAGGGTCAGGAGCATCATTATTATTTTTTTCTCAGCCTTTTTCCTGGTTGCTTTTATAAACAGATAAATCATTTATTTAACAGTGCCTTTTTAAAAGAGACTAGTAGGCCTATAAGGCCTAAAATTACCATTAAGTAGAATATTTTTGTACTTCACTTCGACCATGTCCATTATTATAGTGCGGTGACTCGACATTACAATGAACAAAGTAATTATGAAATTATGAAAATAAAAATAAAATAATAATAAGTTATTAAAACATCTAACATGGTCACCACAAACGCATTTAATTTGTCTTCTAGTTTTGCCAGCACTCTCTCCTGGCTTTTGCACACTTTGAGGTGTTCCCTGGCGTTTTAATTAAAGACTGAATTTCGCGCATAACCTTGCATTAAAAGCGCTTGCTCTGCTTGGGAGAAAAACTGGGCGTGTTCTTTGGCCATGCTGAACAGCCAATAGCAGCGCTGCTGATCACTGGTTCTGCTATCGATACATGTCCCCTTTTAAACCAACGCGAGAACGCGCAGTTATCTCAGATAACTCAATCCAGCGATCCTAATCATAAACAACAGGTGTGTTCGAAGAACCCAATTAGCCGGATCATGATTAGCACGATGATCTCATCTTAGATCTCTCATTTGATCTCGGATGTTTTAAGCAACGTACGAAGAACGAGCCCCTGGACTTCTGATCCTGGTGACTGTCCTGCTGATCCTGGACTTGCTGTCATAGCAACAGGTGCGCTAGGCTTATTTCAGGTTAACAGGATTAGAGCGCGGCTTTATAAACGGAGGTGAAACGGGAAGTCTTTAATCGCAGCGCAATAGTGTAAGCCTACTTTTTGAGAGCTATCATTTTTCTCATGACTCGGGAGGATGGCGTTTACATCATTGATTTGTTGGAAACGCATAAATGTTCGATTTGGAGTCGGGCTTTAATAACAGTGCATGCAAGTTACTATGGACTAGTTGCACCACAACGGAAATGGAATTTCCGGTTTGTGTATGGTAGGCTGGAACACTTCCGGTCACTGTCCGTCAATGACACTCGCTTACTTAACCGACCGTTCAGCGTAGTGTAAAAGAAAAACACAAGTCTTTTCGGTATTAAAACAGGTGTTGTACCGAATTCCGACTCGCGGACAAATAGCACGCCCGCGTGCGCGCGCCTCTCATTAATACACGCTGAAGCGAATTGAATGCACTTAATTTGCCATATATCGATTGATTTTTTTTTTCTCACAGCAAGCACCCAGATCCTGCATGAAAGCTTTGCACTTACAAAAATTAACAGACAGTGAACTAGTGTGGATAAAAAATGCAAACAAACAAAAACGCATGGGAGATCAATTCAAACTATAAACTTCCACGGGTAAAGGCAAGCCATAATAAAGCTACCGCCTGTCAAAACACAACATTACTGTTAATTTAACAGAACGTAACTTTTGTGTGTAAAACACGCTGTGGTTCATGTATTATTCTCCCCATTACACATATCGTTAAAAAAATAATATTTAACCTTTTTAATGAAGATAGGCTTAGTTTATAAAACACATGTCTGTATATTGTATATAGGCTAATATAGACTATAGCCTATATGAGGCAAATACCAGTTTTTGTTTGTTTTGTTTTTGCTTAATTGCATCTTAAAAGTAGGCTAGAAATAAAACAAATTATAATTGATCATTATAATAATGTGATCATTGACTAAAGCTAAGGATGTAAAGAAACCTTAGACTTTTTTAATATAGTTATTTTCTGGCACATTAGGACCACAAAAACATGATTTATTTAATTCATTCTTTCAATTTCACATTTTGCATCCTAGCTGAGAACGTTCTCAGAACTTTGGCTAACATTCCCTACAAGTTTGGTTTAAACTTGTAAACCCATGTAGCCTATACTGTTTTACAGAAAACATTTAAATGTAATGTTGAAATAATGTTTTAAGGATTGTAGGGGGGAAAACAAGTTTCTGGTCCACTGTGGGAGATGCTGATGCTTTATTTCTGATGCGTGCAAAGTACCATGAATTGATCCAGAAAGGCGTGTTGATGTTCCAAACAAATAACTGAAGTTTATTAAATCAAAAATAAAGATGCATTGTAACATAAAACAAAACAAACAACTTTTAGGCCGCTTGCTGGTTTGTGGCACCATGCCACCCTCACTCCATGTGCACGGTCAAAAGACTGTGTGCTCTTGCACCAGCGCCCCCCTCCTGTCAGGGGTGGCCTATCATTTATACAACTTTCCCCCTCTCACCTATAGAGGGCACACACTCAGAGAAATAAACACAAATGAACAAATTAATAAAAATTAAATAAGGTGGTAAGTATGGCTCCTACACCCAGCCCCCAATTGAGCGTTTAATAATCAATTACAATACATTAAATGTAAATGGAGCCAAATGAGTCTATACAAGGAAAAATAAATAAATAAATAATAATAATAATACTCATCCTTTAATCACTGTTTGATCTTCATCTTATTGTTTAGATCTAATGTTCTGCATCTTCCAATAGCAGGCAAAGTTTGGTAATGGGTCTTTCCATGAAACCAGTCTTTGTCTTAAGCTTTACAGTTCTTATGAGTCCTTTGGAATCCGGTAAAACTTCTGTTATTCTTCCAATTGGCCACGATCCCCAAAGTGCTGAACTGTCCACAACTAGCACAACATCTCCTTTCTGCAAACCTCTTTTAGCAGTAAACCATCTCTGTCGTTCCTGTAGTAATGGCAAGTATTCTTGGGACCACCTCTTCCAAAACAGGTCTGCTAAATATTGTACTTGCCTCCACCGACGTCTGTTGTACAAGTCTGACGTTTGAAACAATCCAGGTGGCAGTGTAGGGTTAGACTTTAACAGAAGAATGTGATTTGGTGTCAAAGGTTCCAGATCTTGATGGTCATCAGACAATGTGGTAATGGGACGACAATTCAAAATTGCCTCAATCTCACAAAAGAGCGTTTGTAGTCCTTCATCATCGAGGGTGTTTTGTCTTAAAACAGAGCATAAGATCTGCCTCACCATTCGAATGAGCCTCTCCCATACTCCCCCATGATGTGAGGCTGTTGGAGGATTAAACGTCCACCGAATTCCTTTTTGGAGCATTGCCTTGTGGATTCTGCTTTGGTTCCATTCTGAAAGTGAATTCTGTAGCTCTCTTTTTGCACCAACCAGGTTAGTTCCGTTATCAGATCGTATATGCAGTACTTGGCCCCTTCTGGCTATGAATCGTCTCAAGGTGTCAATGCAGGAATCGGTGTTCAGTGAATGAGCCATTTCTAAGTGAACTGCCCTGCTTGTCATGCAAGTGAAAATAACCCCAAATCTTTTTACCTGACCTCTTCCCCTTTTTGTCATAAAGGTCCAAAGTCAACACCAACATTGCTGAAAGGTGGAAGATCAGCTTGTAGTCTTTCCTTTGGTAGATCTGCCATCTTTTGTTCCCCTATCTTTCCTCTTACTCGCTTGCACACAACACATTTAGACAGAACTTTGCGAGCTGCAGAATTGGCATTTATAATCCAATATTTCTTTCTCAGGTGTGAGAGAACATGGTTTCTGCCAGCATGTCCGAGCTGTTCGTGTATGTGTTGAAGAATCAGTGTGGAGATGTGAAGATCCTTTGGAAGTATAATTGGTCGCTTTGTCTCCTCAGGCATTGCAGACTTGTCCAACCTTCCTCCAACCCTCAAAACTCTATCATCCATCACAGGATCTAGCTTGTACAGGCTGCTGAATTTATTCAAGCGCTTTCCAGCAAGAGATGTCTTTTCTATTCTTGACATTTCCTCGGAATACCTTTGTTTTTGGCTAAACTCAACAATGGCCTTTTCTGCTTTTAAGAGATCATCCAGGGATATGGACTGTCCACAGAGTGATGCCTTGAATGCTTTCATTTCATTACATACCTTGTACCTTTGGCTTTGAGAGTCCTTATTCACGCAGGTTGCCAGTATTTCTTTTCTTTTTGTAGTGAGCAAGCAAAGGATATTCTTGAACTTCAAGAACCATGCCACTGCCAACTTCAGCTTTGTCCAACTTGAGAAATAGTTAAGCAGTTGGTTAGTAGGACTTTCCTTTTCTTTAATGACAGTACTATAAACAGTGGTGTTCCTTTTAACTTCAAGATCATCAAGTGAGAGAGATACGGGTCCCAGGGACTCTTTAGGCCATTCCTCTTCCTTCTTCCATAGAAACTCTGGTCCATGGATCCACTCTTTGCACTTCACCAATGTGCTGGCACTCATCCCTCTTGATGCTAAGTCAGCAGGGTTCTGCTTTGTTCTGATGAATTTCCACTGTTTTACATCTGTGTTTTCTCTAATTACAGAGATCCTATTAGCTACAAATGTGCGGAATCTTACATTCTCATTTGCAACATATTTCAGCACTGACTGACTATCAGTCCAAAATGTTGAGCTTTTGAGATCTAGCTCCAAAGCTTTCCTTATCATAATGTCCACTCTAACTGCTAGCACTGCAGCTGTAAGTTCTAGACGTGGAATTGTGACGTGCTTAAGTGGGGCCACTCTGGCTTTCCCCAACATGAAAGACACATGTACAGTGTGCATATCATCTGTCAATCTCAAGTAACTCACTATGCCGTATCCTTGTTCACTAGCATCGGAGAAATGATGCAGCTCTGCTTGCTTCAGCATTCCAAAACCAGTTGGCTTTACACAACGTGCCACTCTGAATTCTTCTATTTCATCAAGATCCTTTATCCACTTTGTCCACTTATCAGCTGCAGCCTGTGGTATTTCCTCATCCCAACCACATTTACTCCTACAGAGGTCTTGGATAAGCAATTTGGCAGGTAGAGTAAAAGGACTCAAAAATCCAAGTGGATCATAGATGGAGCTCACAACTGATAGTAAGTTTCTTCGGGTGTGGGATTTGCACTTGACAGTGATATTGAACTTAAACACATCATTGTCCACGCACCACAACAATCCAAGAGCTCTTTCAGTGGGAAGCTTTTCCCTGTCGAGATCCAATTCTCTTGCATTCTGAGCTCTGTCTTCCTTTGGAATATGTGCGAGAACAGTACGACTGTTACTCACCCATTTTGTGAGGTGGAATCCTCCTGCTTGACAGAGAGATGTTAGATCTTTCACCAATTCTACTGCTTCCATGCTCTGTTGGAAGGGACTTCAAGCAATCATCAACATAGAAGTTGTTCTCAACAGTGTTTGTCACCTCAGTTCGAAAACAGTCTTTGTTGTCTTTGGCTGTTTGCCTCAGAGCAAAGTTTGCACAGCTAGGGGATGAGACTGCGCCAAATAGATGTACCATCATTCGATGTTCCACAGCAGGCATGCTGACATCACCACTTGGCCACCAGAGGAATCGCAAGAAGTCAACATCTGATCTTGACACTCTGACCTGATGGAACATTGCTTTGATATCGGTCATTACTGCTACAGATTCTTGGCGAAACCTGGTCAAAACATCAAAAAGCGTGCTGGTCAAATCGGGACCCTGAAGAAGTTCTGAGTTGAGGGATTTACCTTGAAAAGTTGCAGCACAGTCAAAGACCACCCTTATGGTCTGTTTTTTGGGATGGTATACACCATGATGTGGGATGTACCACAATTTACCATCTGATCTTTCCAGCTCTTGTTGCGGAACCACTTCAGCATAGCCCTTATTTATGACTTCTGTTAGAAATTCAGTATAGTCGGTTTTGAATTTTTCATTCCTCTTGAACTTTCTTTTCAAACTTTGAAGTCGCTGTTCTGCCACTTGGTAATTGTTAGGCAACACAGTGTCGTCCTTCCTAAAAGGTAGATCAAGAGTATAATGTCCATTTTTCAACTTGATTGACTGTTTTGCAATCTTGATGAATCTTTTGTCTTCTACAGACATTTCAGCCTTCTCTTCACTTGACCTCTCATTAAAATCATGGTTGTATTGTTGCATCAACATTTCTTCCATGTTCAAGGCAGAAATTCTGTTAACAACAACACCTTCACCGCCGTTCCTGTTTGCTGTGTTTTTGCCTTGTAAAGGACCATTAATAACCCATCCTAGTAGGGTCTTCACTGCATAGGCCCATCCCCTTGACTATCAAGGATTTCCCAAGGTTCAATGGCTTTGGGAGCATTGCTTCCAATCAACAACTCCACCTTGGCTGGAATCCTAGGAAACTGTACCTGACTCAGGTATGGCCATTTAGATAGTTCACCCTTTGTGGGAATGTTACAGGTGTCAACAGGCATGATCTTTTGGGTGTATACTTCTGGCAGGTGGATGAAGTTTCTTTCTTCCAGTGAAGAAACTTCTAAGCCACTGACAATGTAAGAGGGCACAGACTTATCCTGACTCATTGTTCGAAGAAGAATATTAGTCTTTCTTCCAGTAATGTTGAGTTTCCTCATAAGATCCTCTGTGCAGAAGCATGCCGAGCTACCAGGATCCAGAAAGGCATATGTGTGCAGAATCATACTTCCTTTTGAACTTTTAACCTGTACTGGTACAATCGACAACAAACACTCTGTGTAAGTCTGCATGTTTCTGACTCCAGTATTCTTACCATCTTGAAGAGAGACCTGTGTGCTACTCACAGGTGTTTTCTTAAGTTGGTCTGTGGATTCCAACGCTTTAATGTGCAACACACTAGGATGCTGTTTGTTGCATATGGAGCAGTTAAGACGCTGTGTGCAGTCTTTACTCAGATGTCCTCCTTTGGTTAAACACCCAAAACAAATTCCATTCTGTCTAATAAAGTTGATTTTTTCTCTGTGCGGCTGCTTTCCAAACTGCAAGCATGACATCAAATTGTGTCCATTGTTACAGTAGAGACAAGACATTGGCTGTGAATCCTTGGATGTGGTCTGTGGTGAGTTCACATGCACATTGGTAGCAAAACTGCCTTTGGATTTGGGTTTCAATATTTTGGGCTTTCCTTTACTTGGGCTTGAGTCTTGGATATCACCAAATATTGGGTCTGAGACGATGTTAGCTTGTTTTTCAATGAAGCAGACAAGATCTACCATCTTTACCTTGTTCCTCCTCTGTTCTTGCAACTCAAATGCCTTTGTGCGCCACCTCTCTCTGAGCTTGTATGGAAGCTTGAATGCAATACTCCTCATATTGGAGACTGTGTCCAGTTCTTCCATGAACTCCAAGTCTTCCATACTATTGCAGCAGCTTCTAAGAAACAATGCAAATGCCTGTAAAGCCTTTGAATCTTCTGATTTGATTGAAGGCCAGGAAAGAGCTTTCTCGATATAAGCACAAGAAATCTTATATGCATTACCAAAGTGTTCTTTCAATAGCTGCTTTGCCTTTTGGTAACCTTGGTTCGGTGACATATGTTGGCAACTTCTTACCAGCTCCTGTGGTAGCCCCCTTGTGTATTGAATGAGAAAGTGCAGCCTGTCTTCATTATCATCAGTTTTACTTTCAATGATGTGCTCAAAAGAATGAAGGAATGACCTGTACTGCAGAATTTCTCCACTAAACGTTGGAATTTCCCCTCTTGGTAAGGTGGAAAGAAGTTGTTGTTTCACAAGCATATCTGTCAAATTGTTCTGTTTTTGAAGAATTCTAGAAAGATCAGGCCCTTGAATAACATTAGATGAAGATCTACTTTCTAGAGGTCTTGCTTGAGCTGTATGAGCTATATGTAATGAGGATGATTTCGAGTCAGTGTTGATGGTGGTGGGTTGCTGAATTACATTGCTGTTCTGAGGATAAGAATGTCTTGCAGTCTGAGTTGGTGCTTTAGAGAGTTCATGAAGAGTCTCTTTTGGGCGCACATCTTGTTGTACTGAAGTTTTATCCAACATCTCCTTACAATATACATTCATGGCATCATCTTCAACAGCATTTCCATTGGTTACTGAGGTCTCAGCATTCTTGAGATACTCAATTTTTGCAGTGTTGGCTGCAATTTCAGCTTGAACTTCCCACACCTCCTTCATCTTTCTAAGTTCCTCCTCTTTCTTCTCTAGAGCATGTTTATGTTGCAGTGCATTGGCTTTGGCAAGTAAAGCTGCCCTTTCTGCCTCTGCACAGATACGAGCTGAGGCTGAAGATGACGCACTTGATCTGCTAGATCTGCCAGATCTACTGCTACACACAGAAGAAACAACTGAAGTGCCATCATCATTATTTAGCTGGTCAGTCACTTTTAGAGCAGAAGGAACTTGAGTACTAGTTTGTGAGTCTGGTTCTTGAATAGTGGACATCCACTTCTCAACAGTAGAAACAAACAGATCAACTTGTTTCATTCTTGGTTCATACCAGGTTTTCAGATCTTCAACTTTATCCTCTTCACTTAACACTTGTACATATGATTCTTGAAGAGACTTGAATTCAACAAACATTTCATTGAACTTCATTATGTTTCCCTTTACTTCTTCAAGATACTCAGCATCAGTCATCAAAGAGTTAACAATATTGATTCGTCTCGTAAGGTGTGCCATCTTGCCTGCTCTAGAGGCTTTCAAACGAGCAGCAACCTCATTCAAATCTCCTTGAGCTGAGTTTGGGGATTCTTCTAAACAAGACTTGTCCTCCATTTTGTCTCAAACAAGCAAATATCCTCTTTCCAAAGACACAAACTCAAATTTCCCTTGATTCCTCTTTAAAATGGCATACATCAAGACCTTTGAACTCCTTCATCAAATGAATCCTTTCATCCACAGTTTTCAGCATCAAACTTGAAAGTCTTTCCAATAACATTCAAATGTAACTCAGCACATTGTTTCCGCAAGCACATACCTCTTTGAGAAGTTTCCTTTGTTCTCTGCTTCCAATGCCATGCGGTCTTCAAACATGTGGTCTTCAAGTTTAAGATAATCCTCCTTTTCTCAAACATATTCCCTTTTCAAAGCAAGTCTTTTGACATTTTGTAGGGGTGAAAACAAGTTTCTGGTCCACTGTGGGAGATGCTGATGCTTTATTTCTGACGCGTGCAAAGTACCATGAATTGATCCAGAAAGGCGTGTTGATGTTCCAAACAAATAACTGAAGTTTATTAAATCAAAAATAAAGATGCATTGTAACATAAAACAAAACAAACAACTTTTAGGCCGCTTGCTGATTTGTGGCACCATGCCACCCTCACTCCATGTGCACGGTCAAAAGACTGTGTGCTCTTGCACCAGCGCCCCCCTCCTGTCAGGGGTGGCCTATCATTTATACAACTTTCCCCCTCTCACCTATAGAGGGCACACACTCAGAGAAATAAACACAATTAACAATACACAATTGACTGATATTTAAATGAACAAATTAATAAAAATTAAATAAGGTGGTAAGTATGGCTCCTACAAGGATGTTTTAACTTTTTGAGGATGTTTTGGGAATGTTGCTGAGAAAACACATTATACAATGTTCTTTTTGGGAAAAAAAAAAAAAAAAAACATTAGAACAGAACAAAATTTTAAGAAAAATTCCAGCTGGGATTGCTTATGGAAATACATTGTTTTGTGTTCAGGTGCCCTTTTTTGAAGAAAACCTGCTGCTATTACAAAAATGCATGCATAATAATCTTCATGAAAAAGGTTATTATTATTTTTAATGACATTGTTGTGCAATGGGGAGAGTAATACAATATTTTACTATGAACCACATCGTGTTTAACACGCAAAAGTTACGTTCAATTAAATTATTTGAAATTAACAGTAATGTTTTGACAGCTGGTAGCTTTATTATGGTAGCTTTACCCGTGGAAGTTTATGAATCGATCTCCCATGCGTTTTTGTTTGCATTTTTTATCCACAGTTCACTGTCTGTCAATTTTTGTTAGTGTAGACAAAGCTTTCATGCAGGATGTGGGTGCTTGCTGTGAGAAAAAAATCAATCGATAAACGCATATGGCAAATCAAGTGCATTCAAACTCGATTCAGCGTGTATTAGGTAATGAGAGGCGCGCGCACGCGAAGGGGCATGCGATTTGTCCGCGAGTCAGAATTCGGTACAACACCTGCTGTTTTAATACCGAAAAGACTTGTGTTTTTCTTTTACACTACGCTGAACGGTCGGTTAAGTAAGCGAGTGTCATTGACGGACAGTGACCGGAATGTTCCAGCCTACCATACACAAACCGGAAATTCCATTACCGTTGTGGTGCAACTAGCGAATTGCGATTCTTATCCAGATTAGTAAGATTATATCAAATTTTATAA